AATAATCGAAGTAAAACTTTCACGACCACGTGGTTATTCTATTCTATCAAATTATCATCAATTTTAACCAGAAAATTTTATTTTGAGGTGATTTGTCAACGCCCCCAATGATTGGACATTTTCTAGAGGAGTGAGTACGAGCCTCGATACAGCCATACTGAATTACTAGCTTTGAAAAATGGTAAATAATCGAAGTAAAACTTTCATGACAACGTGGGCGTTCTATTCTATCAAATTATCATCACTTTTAACCAGAAAATTTTATTTTGAGGTGAATTGTCAACGCCCCCAATGATTGGACATTTTCTAGACGAGTGAGTACAATCCTCGATACAGCCATACTGAATTTCTAGCTTTGAAAAATGGTAAATAATCGAAGTAAAACTGTCATGTCAACGTGGTTGTTCTATTCTATCAAATTATTTACAATTTTAACCAAAGAATTTTATTTGGGAGTGAATTGACAGAGCCCCCAATGGTCGGACAATTTCCAGATGGCCAAGCACCATGTTTTTTTTACACTTCGAACTGGCAGGGAACAGGAGCCACGAATAATTTTCCAGTTGCCTGAGAATAGAAAGCGAGAGGTGTTGTTCGTTAAGGAAAAAAGGTCCTGTGGGACGTTCGTGCCATTATCCGTTTCCCGGTCTCGGGCGCGAAACTATTAAAATACAATGGGGTTGGTTGGCGACGGCGGACCAGTTACGTTATCCGGGATTTTTTTCTAACACAATACGATCCGACGGTGGGCAATAATTTTCAACGAACACGCATCCGCCTGGGTGCAAAAGGCACCGATGCGATGGGGACAGGGAGACGTTTCGCGGCTCGCGAGGAGAAACAGAAAACCGATCTAATAGGGTGCAATTATTTACCGACGGTTTGCATAAGAACACGACAACTGAATGACCTATAGGAAATTGTTGTCCGCATACAAAGCCGCGGAATAGTTAGTTGCATATCCAACGGTTGATTTATGGGGCGGAGAGCAGCTTATTTCTCCGGGTGGTTAACAATTGTTTCCTGACAATGAGCGTATATCAGATATGAATGACACGAAGAAACGTTTTCTACCATTCATCAGGCCGGCACTCGGCCGCCGTAGTGGAGTAATTACACGTTTTCCTGTGTCGTTCGAGAGGATCATCCATCTACGCGAAACCGGGGAAACGATTCAGTTGGGACGACTCCGCGCGACGAGATAAATCTTCGAGGGGGTTGTCTCGGCCCTCCTCTTGTTTTGGAACCTCAAAAATTACATTTGCTTTCAATTTTCTTGTAATTTTGGTCGACCGCATCGGTACACAAGTCACGGCTTATTTTAAAATTGATATAGCTACGCGTTAAAACATTTAAATACGGTTACGAAATATTTTTTAGATTTTAAAATTGGTATAGTTGCTCATTAAAAAAATTTAAATACGCTTGCAAAATATTTTAGGTCACGGTTTATTTTTAAATTGGTATAGTTACAAATTAAAAATCATAAATATATATATACATATATGACAATTATAAGGTGTTCATATTGAATATTTAAACATTCGAGTAACATGGAATTCTGACACCCTCGAAGAAATAACGAAAGTGTGGGCAACTTCTACCATAAATTTTCGACGAATAAAAAGCCATAACGAATGTTTTGTCCTGTATGTTCTGTGATTCTACATATACTGATTTCACTCACTCGTCATGGAAATTAGGTTTAACAGCTCGAGGAATTTGTTTTTTCAAGATATAAACAACTTAAAATCCGAAGAACATGTGACTCGTAAAATCCGGAATTTAGACACTGTTTTAAGGCGTGTTTCTAAGCAATTTTGGTGACATTTTTAATGTACGATATAAAATAACTTGGGAAATTTCATTGTATATTTTTATAACTATTTATGTAGATATAAATCGCGTCTATGAGTTATTTATGTAGACTTTACAATATCATGTAAACATGTATTTAGATTTGAAAAGGTTAAACAGAAACGCGTGTAAAATCCTAATAGATTCATCTTCATGCAACTGTGAGTGTCTTCTTAATTACTATTTTTAAAAAATAATCAAAGTTATGGAATCGTTGTCCTTTTAAAGAAAACATTTTCCACAGAAGTTACAGCTTTTCCGATGCAATGCTTCAATCTTATTTCACTGATTAATTTTACTCATTCACTGATTTCAAGCCGTCATTTCTAAATTACATGTAACAATTCAAGAAATTTAAATTTCATATTCTACATTACTTCGAATTAATTACTCGTGTATTGCCTTAAGAGAAGTCAAATAGAAAAATAGTATTGGAAACTCGACAATTTGAGAGGACTTTTAATTTTCCTCTTGATTATGAAATCAATCTAGGAAAACATCACTATAAAAGACCTATTCCAATGATGTTTATACTTAAATACACAGAAGAACAACTTTCCTTCCAAAATGTATTTGCTGTGGGGCATATACTAGTGAAATGGCTGTTTATTTAGTAGTTTGTATATTTAACAAAGACTATACGAGTATAGATGAAATATAGAACAAAGCTATGTTGAAAATGATATCAGTGGTAAAACTAAAAATTGTCAATAATCGTGTATATAAACAACAGGGAGGAATACATAGGCCGATCTGACAAACGGTTATCCGACGCATCGGAGAAGGCAAGAATACCTCGTACAATAGAAAAATCACCCCTGTGAGATTCTTCTGAGGAAGTAGAGAGTCCATTTCATTGTTCTAATATAGTAGATTATGCTAAATTTCATCTTATCTACCTTTAAACTATATGTCCGCCTTTATAAATGTTTTTCTCGAAACAACATTCTTCAAACTTGTTTCCATAATATATATACTTCAAGATGCACTCTGTCGATTAATTTCAAATTTTACACACATTTAAAGCGTATACCCATCTATCATAGGAATTAAAATTAATCTTATATATTATAAAATTTCAATTGTTATTTTATAGATCTTTATATATATTAAATCTTTTATTTTTATCATCCGATAAAAGCTAAAATTCATGTAAAAAAATCAAATTTCTCATTTGGCAGAAGCTGCAATTCTGCAATTTTAATTACACTTTTAAAATTCTAGATTACACCATAATCACAATTACGTACCATAATAATCAGTATTTCTAACATATTTTTCGCCGACATCTCAGAATATGCTTACAAAAATAAATCGTTCATATCTCAAGAAAGAAACACGCTACAAGCCTAAAATTTTGTACACGGCCATATTTTGAGCTACAATTTGAGCCCTCAAATTTTGAGAATTTTTAATGGAATATTAATGATAGATATATTTTATACAATTCGAATAATCACAACTGTTTGAGTTGTGGACTTCATCAAGCAACTTTTGTTCATATTCTTCGATAAAATAATATATAATTAATATCGAAAACATTTACACAAACCCTGGAAATGCCCAGAATATGTATACAAATTTTCAAATCGATCGATAAGATACATTTTCTCAAACGAATACACAAAGTAGCCCTAAATTCTCACTCTATGGATCTACTTAATCGGACGTTTGGAAACGCGACGAATCAGTATCGAGTTCGTTGATTTCGGTCCAGGATTCTGTCTCATAACCGTGTGCCAACGACTCGTTGAATATTCAAGAATGGAAATCGACCGAACAAGAATTTTAGAATCGAATCTTCCATAACTTTCGAAGGCGTCTTGTGACCCTCGATGCAATCAAGTTTCCTGTCGGTCGTATATCTTAATCAATCGTCGATTCGATGAAAAAAAGACGTCGTAGAATCGTCTATTAATCGCCCGTTTTTTGAATAAATCTCGTTTTCGCGGTTTCTTGAATTTTTAATGTCTCAATTAAAATCGTGGGTCCTCTATCTGAAACGTAGATCAACTCGGAGCCAACGCTCGGGCCAATTTTATTTATGCCCCGCGATATCGTCACGAATACACTTTTGCAATAACTGTGGGATAATTAGCCGGCGGTTGTTCGCAAAAGAATACAAACGGTCGATAATTTAAATAAAATTGTCGGGATCGTGACGGAACGGTTGCCAAACAACGGGCGTCTACCTTGCGCAACAACGAGAAACCGTTTCTCCCAGGGCGTGAAATATTTCTTTTCGTTGTCGATGAAATTTATAACGTCGATGCACTTCGGTTCGGTCCATTATGCAGCCTCTAATGAGAAACCCCGTTATTAAGCAATTGCTGACAATGAACGCGCGTAATCCGCCGTGCCGTTTATGCGCCTCCGCGAAAATCGTCCGAGAACGTTAGGTACACATTGCTGACTTTCACGGGAATAAATTTAACGGGAATCACGAGCGAGAGGAGGAAACGCAATTGATTACGCTAACTGACCTTTCGTAGCGCGCGGCAATTACTTCGCATTCGGTGGAAATTCACTTCTGAACTTGCAAACCGAACGTCACCTTTCATATAATATAGTCTCGCTATTGCGTAGTCAATGATCGAGGGATTATTATGGGGAACTCTTTGTATATTCAGGTTACTTAGCAAAGTTGACACGAATGTCAGATTCGATCTTCCAGAACTAGGGAATTCTATTTGTTCATGATTTTACTTGAAGAAACTACATTTCATTATAAACAATAACTGCATTATAAATGTCAGAAGAATCTGGAGAGAATGGTGCTGGATGAAACTCCATATTAGAGTCAACAATCAAAATTTTTAGAGCACGTTGCTCCACCGTTTGTCGGAAGCTTATATCGTTCAAATTATTACTTGATAATATGGAAAATAATGGATTTAACTCGCATTATAAACGCCAGAAGAATCTGGAGAGAACGGTCCTGAATGATATTCCTCATTAAAGTCGACGATCATAATTTTTAGAGCAGATTGCTCAATCGCAGGTCATGAGTTTACACCGTGTAAAGTACTGTCCGATAACATTGAAAAGACAGTTTTATCTCACGCGAGGAGCCTTCTTTATAACGCTCTGTACACAGCGCATACCGAGATACCAAATTTTCCCAAAGAATAATCTGAACTCACCAGAAGAAGGTCGGTCCGAATATCTGGTGCAGTAGACCCAAGCAGGCCAGGTAAACGGTTCCGTTGAATCGCTGGCAGGTGGTCCCGACGCGTTGGACGTCGGATTTCCGGCCGTCACACTGACCGGGGACGTGTTGGTCGTGGAGTTCGTTTCCGAGCTGCTCTTCTCCGACGTTTCTGAAGATGACTCGAGGAAGTCCTTGGTCAGATCGATGGGTCTCGGCGCGACCTTCTTGGGTCTGGACTTTTTTAACGAAATGGGATCGGTGATCCTTCTGCCGAAGTCAGCCTTCAAGATATTGTCTATACTGAACTTCAACCCTGCTTGATGCTGCAGATTGTTGTTGTTGTTGTGATTATTGTGATGATTGGTATTGTTGATACCGTTGTTCTGTATACCGTTGGCACCGGGCATCGTTCTTCCGTTCTCGTCCCTCGCCCCGGGCGAAGCAGGGCTGACAGAGTCTCTCTGGAGGATCTTGCTCACCGAGAGTCGATGCTGATGCACCGAGTTCGCCGGTACGTGCTGCACCTGGGACGTCTGATGAAGGTGGATGTGGCTGTTGGCATGATGTAAATGCTGGCCAGGATGAGGCATCAGCGAGGCAGTTTCTCTGGAGTCCCTGCAAACCGTGGGATGCAGGACAGGGGTGGTCGCTTGGAGGCCGGTGACTGTCATAGCCGACGGTGGTGACAACGACAGTCTCGTGACCAGCGGTACGCTGATAGGGGTTCGGTGTAGCCTCTCCACGGTCGGGTAAACGATCTCGTGACCCAGACTGTGCTGTACGCGCGTCGGGTAATCGGGAATCTCGGACTCCCTCGAGGAATATCGGGGTAACAAGTGCTGATGGTGACTGGACTGGTACCTGGGCACTATGACGTCCTGGATGGCTTCTGGACGACCTGGGGACGAGGCAGTGGCCGAGGACGATGCCGGTGACCTCACCGAGGACGCTGTGGGCGACGACGGAGGCTGGCTGTAACCCGGCGGGCTCGGCGCCGGTACGTGATTAGTCGTTCGTTGATAAAACGCGTCGTTGCAGCTCGCTGAGCTGGAAGGCGATGGTGTCGCCGATGTCCTCGTGTTCTCCTCGTCGCGAAAGTCGCCACGGCTGCTGGCCGATTCGTGGTCGTACCTCACCAAACCGCAGCCACGGATTCCGACGACGCTGGTGGGCGTCGGTTCGCTACCGACGCTCAACACCTCGCTGGTGTCGCTCTCGCAATCGCTGTCAGGGTTGTTGCCGTCACTACTTCGTATCTGCTCCCGTTTCTCAGAGTCCGAGGACTCCAGCCGGGTCTGCAGATGATTCTGCCTGATCTCGTGTAGATCGCCGGCGTCCAGACCAATGGACGATTCCGGTGGGGTGCTCGACATCTTTTCCCGTCGATCGCTTGTTCCCTTTTCGCGAATTCTTTCTATCGGTTCGCAGAGAAGATCTATTTCATGACGACGATCGGAGGATTGCCCTTCTTCCTTTCAGTGTACATGACGATTTCAGAGATTCTTTATCTACCTAACGGATTCCATCCGCTGAGTGTCGCCCGGAGGGATTGTCATTTTCATACAGGACACTCTTAACAACGTATCCCTGGCATCTCATCCCCATAGTATCGCAAAATTATCTCGTTCGATGCACTGTCAGCCGGTAACTCGTACACGTTTCATGCACTAAGTACTGTTTCCCCGGTTCCTTGCCGACGGACACTGTTCAGCCCTTTTCATGACTGACTATCACAACGTATCTCGAGTTCGTTCATCATACCGTCTCGTGAACAGTCTTTGGATACGCGACGCACTAAGAACCAGTGGCCCCGGAGCTGGCAGCTCATAGGTCCAGCTGGCTGACTGTACCGTACGCGCGGAGCTCCCAGACCGCCACCGATCTGACGCGCGGCTTCAGAGTCTTCCCGGTGCATCCATAATCCATCGCACTCTCACTTTCCCGGTTCCTTGCTGGGCAATGCTCACAAACAGAAACCAGGGAGACCCGGGGTCCACTGTGGTCCCGATGCCAACAGCAACGCGCACTGAACTCGGCCAACGGCCAGGAAACCGAGGCTAAGATACGGGCCAAGGGGTCAGCCGTCTCAGAGACCGGGTTGTAACGACGAGGACACGGTGGTCCGGTTGACGATCGGTCAAACGTGGAGGTCCTGCACGGCGCTGGTAGACGCGGGTTTCAACGGAACCGTTGTGCGACGCTGTGGATCCAGGCCGGGCTGGTTGTCCAGTTGGTTGCCGCGAAGCGTCTGCGGCGTGGAAGCGGCGGGAGGGCCGACGATGGGCGTTCCTGGGCGTCGATTCCGCGTCGAGTACGCCTACCAGCTGACCTTTCAAGGGGTGAGGACCCCGTCTAGGGGCGCGGCAACTCGACATCTGCCGGCTGACGCGGGAACTCTGGAACCTGTGACCGCCCACCGTGCCACCACCCCACGGAACCAACTGCTGATAGGCAGAACTCACAACCTGACGCTCTCCCCCTACTCGGCTCGATTCTCCCTCTTACTTTCGCCCCGCCGCCCTTCGAGCCTGTCCTTGTTCTGCGTTCGCGCCTCCGCTCTTCCTTCCCCACTCTGTGCCGCGCAAGCCTCCAGTCTCTCCGTGTTTATCTCTGCCCTCTCCCGCCACGTCTGACCCCCTCTCTCTCTCCCAGCTGAACACGAAAACGTTCGCCGTTTTACTTCTGGCTCCTCCGTCCGCTCGCCGTTGATCCAGTGCGCTGCCCCTGGCTCGCTCGTCCTACTCCCTCGGATGTTCGTCTTCTTTCTCCTCTCGCGGTCGATTTATCCCCTCTCTCGCGGCGTTATCGCGTTGGGTTTCCAGATTGTCCTCGTCTCTCCTCTCGCCGGCTCTGTCCCCAGCGCCGCGTTCCGCCTGTTCTTTCTGATTCCTCTATCTGCTCTCGGGTGATCCGGCTCTTAGCTCCTGCCACGTTTAGCTTCTCTCTCTCCGCTCTCAGGGGTGTTGTTTCTCCTCGTTCGGGCTCTCACTGCTTTCGAGTTGTCCTCGCCAATTCGATCGGTTCCCTCGCCTGTCCCTTCTTTTCGCTATTACTATGTTCCCTGGGCCCGCGTTCCGCTGTCCTTGCCCACCGATTCTTGTTCCACCCCGGCCGATCGTTTACCAGCCACTGGATAAATCAATTGCCAACCACCCGGTATGATCGGCCTTTGTTACCGTAATACACCGTTGCAACAATGCTCGTTCTCGACATTGCGCTATCTGTCCAATTTTATCTTAGACCGCGAGCGAAACTGGAAACGATTCGCGTGCATAATCTTAATCGGGGGAGAGATCGCGACGGTTTTTTCAGCAATTTTTCATTTCCAACGTGCACATTTATCTGGAATTGCCCGAAGGAACACTCGGTACGTTGTAGCGAAATCGCTCCTCCGGTCTTATTGGGTCGAGCATTGTTGGATAATGTTACTGTTAGGCGAGCACCGATTGCTGTACGTAGACGATTCAATCGATACTTTTTGCACAGTTTACTAGCAAGTATCGACAGAAGGCTGCCCCGTCTGTTGCAGGCCTGATTATGTGTTCAGTTTTATCTTTAACGGCGAGTTACGGAGTCGGCGCGATGTTTAGCAACGATTCGCGTGCATTCTTTGCCAAGGAAATATTGTGGTCATTTTGGCAGCAATTATTCATCCCTCTCATACATATTTATTTAAATCCAACCGTGTACCAGCGATCTTGTTGCTCGAAGGAGCAAGTGACTTAATGTACAGAGGTCCTTGGTAAACTATTGTATTAAAGATTGTTAGATAATGTTTAAGCCGTACAAGTACTTATTCCTGTACTTAAACGATTTAATTAATTCATTTTCTTATCCGAGTTTGTAGCGAATGTTGGTAGAAGGCCTACGCCTCTGTTACAACCCCATATTTCCTGAGTTTTATTCCAAAGAAATATTTTAATTAATCAAAAAATAAACGTAACGTCTATATAAAATTGGTAGTATTTAATACTGTTATAAAGAAAGATGAACGGTTTTATTACACGATCTAATGGGTTTGAAAAATTAATTAATTTGACAAGTGGGTGATCCCTTAGAACATCCCTTGTATTTTTTTTCTAGAAAATCTAGTACTTTCTCAGAGTACGTCTTTTACTGTTTATAGATTCTGGTAGGTTTTGGATTAGATCTAGGTTATATAAAAAAAGTTACTTGTAATTAATTTGACAAGGGGTTGGTCCCTCAGAACATCCGTTGTATTTGTAATTAATAATCCTAATAGTTTCTCAGAATGTATGTCTTACTGTTCATAGATTCTTGAAGGTTTGGATTAGGTCTAGATTATATCCTATTTACACCCCATTCTACTTCAGAATTTCTCCAGAAATAATCTCTTACTATTTGCAACTTCTGATGGTGTTAAATTTAAATTAAACATGATAACCTCTTCACTGGAAAAATAATCAACGACACTAATGCTCGAGCGGAGGAATTCAACCCTCCGCGGGCGGACATTTTGAAACACGATCGTTACAGAAGCATAGAAAATTGTCATCCCCCTAAAAATTACTATATTCGTCCTAAAACTTTTATTTTCTTCCGTCGAATCTTTACGTACGTATCAAGGAAGTGAATTTAATTTAAAGATTTTTAAATAACTGTAAAATGGCGCCCACCGGTATGCAGATGTCGTTCGCGAAGGGTCGAGGCGGATTGTTTCCGTGAATTTTGTTCGTTTGTTGTTCGAATTGAAAATTTGTCCATCTCTGGCACCGAGCGTATCGATTTCCTGGTTTTTCACCCTCGAAAAGGTGGCGTGCATGCGCGCCGTGAATCACGTATTCATTTTTCGTCGGGTTCGTGAGGAGCTCGGGCGCGCGTCAACGTGCTCTCGAGGCGATCGTTAAGCCTCATTACGGGCCGATCTTCGAGCGGATAGGACGTACAGGAGTAAAGAAAAAAAATGTCAGCTCGTAAATCGTTGGTCAGGTGAACTTAAAGTGCGTCAACATTGATCCGCGTACGCGAGCGCGCGCGCGCGCGACACGTACTCGCGTTTAACTTCCACTCGTATCGAAACGATTTTCTCTTCGACTTCTTTTCGCTCGCCTGGGAAGATGATCGAACGCTTGTGATCGATAGGGATCTAAGTAAGGGCCTCTCGGGATCGTAACTCTACGCTCCGAGCAATTATCAGTTAATAACGTTAATTATTATGCACGACGATTCTTATAATTCTTTCGCGCGTCTCGTCAAACATCGATAGCCATTACAAAGTCACATTTATTGCGTTTTTCTTCTACCTAGCATTTTATCTCGCTGTTTTAACTCTGATTGGACTCGTTTCGCACGATCTTGCGAGACGTGCGCGATTTTTTTAGTGCACCTGCCTCGGAAATTGATCGGGCGAGGAAAAGTCTTGAATCTTGAAGGTTTTATCTCCGAAACATGAATTAAAACTATTGTTTTTATCGTTGATATTTTTTCTGTCGTTTCTGAGATACCTCCTTTGTATATTTAGTTGGTTAAAATAAATCAAATTATTATAGATCTATTGTAATAAAAAAGATACGAATATATCTCAGAGGAATGAAACGCAAGGTTCCATAATTATTTATTTTTTCGTTCGTGGACTAAGAATTAAATAAAGTTGAAGAGCAAATAACATTGAAAGCAGAGTAATATTGTAACATTAATTTATTTTATTACTAAATAAAAAATTATGAGGTTAACTATTTAATATTTAGTGTAAGCGAATTTATCGACTAGAAACGATAGTTTTTCAGGATACATTCGTCGATAATGTTCTGCTGGAAAATTCTGGAAAAGAGTTTATTTCATAGAGGGACGTTTTGGAAGACATTACCAATTAAATATTTTTCTACGATGATTTTTGACGATGGCTGTTACAACGAAGGGTTGATTAATATTTTCTGGATGGAAGCGTTGAAAAATGGGGAATATTATGCTGCATCGTAGGAACTTTTCCACGCGTCCTTGCGAGAGATTAATTATCGGGACTCGAACGTGGCGACGCTGTAATATCGGTTCCCGCGAGTTTTTCGCGGAACGGAAATTTATTACCGAGTAATTCCGGATTCACCGCGCGCCTCTTCCACGAGGGAACGCGGAAACCTATGCTAATCCGATCGAATCCTACCGGGATACTATCTGACCAGCTCGCGAAGACGCGCGCAAAACCTTTTACGGCTTCCTTCAATGGGAATTGTCATTTATGGGAATTAAACGGTGGGAGTGACTTCGATTGGCAGCTGCATGCCACGCGGAAAAACTTTTTACCGCACTACGGGGGAAAAAACCATGCATGTTCGCGTCGACCCTGACCGAAATCACCAAATATCAGCGAAACCGTAAATTAACGACGATTTCTTTTTCGTAAAAATAATCCACAACAGAGTTTTCCAACACTAGGCAAACTGAGAAGTTTCACGAGTCCACTTGTCTGAGAAAATCTCAAAAGCGTGCTACCTATCGTAAAATAATTTTGAAATATTATTTACTGGCGTTCGTGCACTTAAAGATGATTTTTAAAATCAGGTACAAAATTAAATACAGCGGCTTAAATTTACAGAAATAATAATTTAAATCCACTGCGTGGTTCCGACAAAAATTTCATTAAAATTTCGAAAGAGTAAATACACTTTTCTAAATAACAAATTTTAAATACATATCACAAATATAGTAACTTAAATCTACGGCTGCATTGCATGAAT